TAATTGACAGAAATTGATTCAAACAAACTTTTAACTCTACATGAGTATTAGATGGTTGTTCCCAAACATCATTAATTGTTACAGAACGGCTTTGATCAATAATAGCATTCGTTAAAAACATACGATTTTGTGTTGCTTCCCAAATTAATACTCGTCCAGTGCTATCTATTATTTGGTATTTATATTCAAATGGCATATTTTTAATATCTAATTCTATTTTCCAATTGTTACTCGGAGTCCAATTCATCTTTGCTCCATGTTCCCATTCCCCAAGTTCTTGGCATGAACCAACAACAGCAACTGAATTCCCTGGAGTTGTTTTGTAATTAATATTAAACATAAACTTGGTCATTCTCTATCTGTTTTGAATTTTTTAGTTTTATTTTATTTTTTTGTTGTTTTTTCTCCTTTTCATTTCTGTGTTTTTTAGGGCATTTAATGCGGTTTTATTAAATAATTTATTTATGTTAACAAAGCTTTCTTATTTACTTCGATAGAAGTAAGCCGTGTTAAAGAAGTTTATTCTTTCAATCCTCAACACTATGAAAAAGCACAATAGCAGGCAAGTCGTAATTGATTATTTTTTGATTGATGAAGGTTTCTTTGTTAAGAAAACTTAATACATCTTTGAATTATTTCTAAATAACATATTTGTAGTTAATAGAATAATGAGAAATACACTCACTAACGATAAGGGATGTTAGTTAATAATAGAAATCAATAAAACAACAATAAAAATGAATAAATAATATAAAATTAATAAATCAAATCTGAAATAAGATAAAAATTATCATTAAATAATTGAGTAAGAACAAAATGAGTTGATAAAAATTAACATTGAAACAAATTTTTTTAGATATCAACTATGGCAATGTAACTAAGACTAAAAAGAATAAAGAATTAAACAATAAAATACAATTGAAAATTAAATCACAACTTATATTGACAAACAATGAATGAAACAGATTAAATAAAAGAAAGAAACTATAACAAAAAGTGTTATAAATTTATAACAAAAACAAATAAAATAATAAATGGGTATTTATTTAATTGAATGCTTAATAATCTTTATAAAATGGTAAAGATATAACATATGCTGTAAATATAAACAGTTTTTGGATTAATAATATTAATTTATTTATAATAATTTCATATCATTTACTAATATTGTACTCAAACTCTCTAAATGATCAGCAAAAGAAAAAACAATACAGTATTCTTTAAATAATATGAAAAAAGAAATGATTTAACTTGACCATGATAAAAATATGATAATTATGAGAAAAGAGAGTATACAAAAATAAAAAATTATAAAATAGTTATATAAAAAAAAGAAAGAATAGATAAGAAATTTAATACTAAAGTACAAAAAATCAGAAGATTCGTACATTCTAATAAAATAAATAGGTTAGTAGAAGTCTTACATCAAATGATAAAACAGTTTTATAAAATGATAAAATGGAAAAATTGATTTATGTTAAATCATTGAAACGATGATAATTAATTAACAAGAATGAATTATTAAATTAATTGAATAATAGTTATTATTCTAAAAGTAGTAATATTAAATGGAATATTAAATAGAATAAATAACAATGGAAATAGAATGGTATATTGAATAATATAAGTGAGCTAATAATTAATAAAATGAAATGAGAAAAATAAATAACAAAGTAAAGTTTACAAATACTCAAAGAATTGAAAATAAGATAAATCAATCTATATTTTAGAAATAAAGTAAATCAAAAGAAATAAAAAACAATATCAATAGTGATTGTCATCAACTTATAATTAATATAATCATTAAATCCCTTGAAAAATAAGATAGTATGATAGCCCAGAAAATATAAAACAAAGAATAAGAATATATATTTTCTATTGTATAAACTTAAATTAAAATGAACATACTTCATTAGTATATCAACTATAATAATATTAAAAGAAAAATATGACATTACTTTTTTAGTTGATTAATCAATTAAAAAAAAAGAATAGAAACATTTTTATAAATAGGATATTTAAGAAAATAGATTAATTGACATATTGGTCTAAAACAAGGATGGTATTAAATGATGATATAAAATCAAACAAGAGAAATTGTGATATGTATATGGAGTTAATGGTTTAATGTGAGAAAAATAATATTTATAGAATTGATGATATATCTAAATAAGAAAAACAATAGAAAAAGAAATTTAAAATTGCTTATGCTATTAAGTGTATATAAGGTGTAAAGTAAATATATAATAGTTACAATAAATAATCAATAACTAAACATTTAATAAAAGAAACGATCAAAATGATAAAGAAAATAATTGTAATATTATATAAAATGATTTCTATAGAAATAAAATATTTAATAGTGTAACCAATGAATAATATGATAAACCTTTTAGAATCTTAAATAATAGAAAAGAATTTAATTAACATTTATTAGATTACTTTGTTTTTTTTTAATAAACATCATTTCAAAATTTTCCGATTTAAAAATTAAATTTTATAGTCCTTTTATCAAAAAGATAATGTCAAAAACACCACAAGATAATGAAAAAAAAAGGAGCCATACCACTAAACAAAATGTCCAAATAGATGAGCTTAGTACTTGGGATGTTAAAGGAAAAAATCAACAAGTGATTACAGGATATAAAAAGAATGAAGAAATGAATAAAAAGATAATAGTAGTAACTGGAGATATTACTAAAATCCAAGCGGATGTTGTTGTGAATGCAGCAAATTCTTACCTAAGAGGAGGTGCTGGTGTTGATGGAGCTATTCATAGTGCAGCAGGTTATGAATTATATGATTATTTGCGTTCTCATTATAAACACTGTGACACTGGAGATTTTAAACCAAGTCCAGGGTTTAAAATGCCATGTAAAGAAATATTACATGGAGTAGGACCAATAGGTGAGAATGCTATTCAATTACAAAGAGTGTATGTCAGATGCTTGGAATATGTTAGATTAAAAGAATATAAAAGTATTGCATTTCCATGTATTTCAACAGGAATTTTTGGGTATAGTAATGAGAAGGCATGTCCAGTAGTATTAGAAGTAGTAAGAGATTGGTTAGAAGTTAATCCATTGTGGGATGGTAAAATTATTTTTTGTTGTTATAACTTAACAGACCTCAATATTTACTCTAAGTTCTTACCCTATTATTTCCCTACCACAGAGTTTGAGGATAATGAATCAAAAAATATTTCAGATGAAGTTGTTAAAGAAAAAATTAAATCAAATAATAAAGATCTTGAACAGGTAAAAATTAGTTGTGATCAAGACATAGATAAGAGTTTAAGACAAAGAATCAATATCAATAAAAAGATGTTTTATTATTTAGATATAAAAGATTATGATTTAACTGTCAAAGAACAAGAATTAGCTATTGAAGAACATTCAACATTATTTAAAGAAAAGTATGTTGAAGAAAGAAAAGATATTGAAGGGTTATATCAAGCAAAAGAGTTAATTTAAAATCTTAAAACAAACAATTAATTAACTGAACTTTTTTAAAATTTAAATAAATTTTTTTAATAGTTAAAATGAAGAATAAATGAATTAGTTGTTCCACTGATAGACTCTGACATAAACAAATTGAAAATGATTTTCTTTTTCAAATTCAAAACAATTTTCTGCATTAAAACAGTCAAAAAAGTGTTTTCCACTATATTTAACTGAATCAATAACACAGTCATTTGTTTTAATATCCCAACAACCTAATATATAGAATAATTCATCTTTCTCTTTTGGAAAAAATAAAAGATGGTGGTTTGTTTCACGTGGAGTAAAACAAATTTCTCCAGTTTTATTTGAATTTTTTAATGAAAACACAAACATTTGATTATCTTCAGGTACATAACTATTCATTCTTTGTGGAATTTTTGAATGAAATGAACCAAAAACATTACCAGAAGTAGAAGTAATAACAAACATAATATTTTTTTTGTCTTTAACAATTTTAAATAACATTTCACCAGTAACTTCATCATTTCTTTGGTACTCAACAATAAGGCTCAGTGACTTTAATTGTGTATATCTTTTTAGAAAATAAAAACTTTCAGGACTTTCTTTAAGTGTATTAATATAACCTTTAGATAATTGTTGTTGTAACTCTTCATTCTCTTTTTTTAATATTTCATTTTCTTTCTTTAATTCTTTATTCTCTTTTTTTAATATTTCATTCTCTTTCTTTAATTTTTCACCCATTTCAATTACGTTTTTGACTCTTTCATTTTCTTCAATAATTTTTTTTGAAGAACTTTCTTTTTTCAATTGTTTTGAACAATAACTACTATTCATACTTGTAATAGATATATGAATGGTTCTGAGAATTGAGTTATAACAAAATAAAATTATGAAAAGGAAAAATCAAATTCTTAAAAAAACTTTTAAAGAGAATTTCTTTCTCTTTTTTTTTTTTTAAAAATCAACGCCGAAACTTGTTTTTTCTTAATGTCAAATCAATACACTGTACTCCCACAAGTTCCTTATTACACACCAGTCCAACCAGAGTATTTTACTGTTCAACAACCACAGTTTGTCGTGGTTCAACCACCACCATTAGTTCAACCAATCCCTGAACAAATACCAAAAAAAGAAAATAATGATTGTCAAGGTGCAAGTATTCTTTTTGTCTTGGGGTTCTTTGTTTGTTTAACTTGGCCAGCTTGTTATTGTATTTATAAAAATTCATCTGATTCACTTGCTAAAGTATTTGCTAGAATCTCTTTCGTTTTTTCTATTCTTTATGTTTTATTTATTAGTGGTTTCATCGGTGTTTATATTGTACTGATTATCTCCATCTTCTCTAGTGTACCAGAAATGCCATAAACAACAAAACATCTTTAAATGATTTAAACGTATACTCAGTATTTGTACATTTATTTTTTATCATTATAAACAATAAGTTAATAGAGATTTCGTAATTTAGTATGAAAATAGATAATTTCCAGTTTATTTATAATTAAAAATTCTTTCATTTAGTGAATTTGAGTAAAAATATTTATATGATATTTGAGTTTTATGTACTAAACATTATATATTTACTATTATAATTTCAATTATTTATTGATTCGAAGGTAGCACGTCAGAGATACCACACAGAACCCTAAAATATTTCCATCCTTCGATTCCCACCAGTTATGGACTGGTTATGACGTTGCGTTTGGTTAGAAAAACATCTTACCCAATGCTGCAAGAATAGCAGTGTTTATTATGTACGATGACAGAATATCATTGACAATAAACGAATGGGTATTTATAAAGATGTTATTATTACTTGTTAGAATACAAGTATTATTTGATAATATAAGAAAGATTATCAAAAGAAAAGGGTCAAGTGGATGAGGCTAAAAGAATATTAGCCCAAAGTAATACAGTTGTAATTATATGCTCTCCTTAAAATAAGAAAATAAAGAAGAAATTTAAACCCATCGAAATTAAAAAGAAATTAAATAATGAATATTTAAATAATTGATGTCTAAAATACTCTATTCCACATCAAAAAAGAGAAAAGAAAATTCTCACAGTTCGACAACTAGAAGCAAAGAATAAGCCAAAAGTTGAAGAACAAATACATTTAAAGCGAAGGGACGGGATTAGTCTCCCCTGAGCAAGGAACAATAGACACAAGTTCTATTAATACTTAATTAACTACTTTTTATTTCAATTATTTATTTATTATCTTAATTAAATAGCATTCTCATTATTTTTTTATTAGTTTTTTTTTCAAATGTTAATTCTTGTAACATATTCTTATATGATAGTTGCCACATCCATTAATTCTCTGTGGTAGTGTAAATTTTCTTTTAATTTATATATTTTATGGATAATAATAAATATTAGTATTTTTGATTTAATGATTACAAAATTATTAAATAAATTTTTTTTTCTTTTAAATTCAAATAAAATGATATATATTAATATAATAATTGTCAAATGAAAATCCTATAATATTGCTAATTATTGGGTTAGTGGTAAAATTACATTAACTTTTGTAATTACTTATTCGTTGGACAGGTTTTATTCCTTTTTATAAGTGTTTTCGAATCTTTTGATGTGACCTTTGGTAAAACAACTTTTTTGTTTAAGACTATTGAGTATAACATAAAATATAAAAATTATAAAAGGAAAAAGTAAAATACACAAATTGTATGATTACTTAAAAACAAAGAGAAATGCATAAAGTGAATAAAATATGTATTATAAGAAATTTGTTTTCTTTAAAAATTAATTATGAGAAAATTCTTTTTTGAAGTAATAGGTTATTGATAAAATTATTAATGAATTTCAAAACTAGAACAATAGTTAGAGAATTAGTTTACTTAATTTAGTTAAGCAAAGTTCAAGTTAGTGTCTAAAATATTTAAATGGATATATCTTTAAAATTATACACAAATATTAATTGCAATGCTCAAAACATCCTATTTCAAAGCAGAAGTTGATGAAAAGCTTCCTTTTACTGTTTATGCACATAAATATTGCCAATTAATTGAAGAACCAGATAGGCCATTAATAAAGTATGTCTCTGTTTGTAATGATAAAACAGTAGAACTATCTCTATATGAATTTCATCATTTAGTAGATTCTTTAGGATATGCGTTTTATTCTATCGTTAATTTACAAAGAAAGGATGTTATTGGTATTTATTTACCTAATTGTGTTCAATTTATTATTTCTGAAGCATCTATTGAGACTTGTGGATTTATTATGATACCACTTAATCCAGCATATAAACCAGAACAACTTGAACGTTTGTTCAATAAAACAGAAGTAAAAATGGTTATCACAACAAAAGCACTTGTCCCAAATATTATTAAAGCTGATAAAACCATGAGAATTGTTATTGTAGATTCAACTAAAGAGGATATCATTAATTATTCTTCACAAAGAATGAATGTGTATTCATATAATGATTTAATCAAAGTTCCTCTAAATAAAGAATTTCTTGATAATCAACGAAATCAAATTAGTTCTGAAGATATATTGTTTTATGGATGTACATCAGGATCAACTGGAGAACCAAAAATTTGTGTTTATACTAATCGTGCTTTTATTGGAAATATTTGTTCTAATCAATCATTTGTCCCAGTTGAAAATAGAATAACTTTGAGTATTGCTCCATTATATACAACTACAGGACACATTGTTGTTTCGTTTGTAATAACAAAAGGTTATTATTACATCTTTTTAGATAAGTTTGATGTTGAAAAAATATTCCAAATTATTGAAGAAGATCATGTCACTAGTACAGGTGGAGCACCATCTGCTTTTATGGCTTTAATGAAACATCCAAATAGGACAAAGTATAATCTAAGTTCATTGAAAGAAGTTACTATTGGTGGAGCTATAGCTTCTAATGAATTAACTGAATCAGTAAAAAAAGTATTTAATTTACAATATGTTTGTAGTGGGTTTGGAATGACAGAAACATGTGGTATTGTTTATAAAATGCCTGCAAAATCAACAGGATATAGTGCAAAATTAACTAAGAATTATGAAATTCGAGTTGTTGACCATGAAACAAGAGAGGTTTTACCTGTTGGGATTGCAGGAGAACTTGAAATAAAATCTCCATTTATACTAAAAGAATATCTAAATAATCCAGGAGCTAATAAACAAGCATTCACTAATGATGGATGGTTTAGAACTGGAGATGAAGCAGTCCTTGATGCTGATAAATTTTTAAGAATTACTGGAAGAGTCAAAGATATGATAATTAGAGGTGGACATAATATTTGGCCAGCAGAAATATGTGATATTATGATTGCTCATCCAAAAATTCAAGAAGCTGCTGTGATTGGTATACCTGATAAGATTCAAGGAGAAACACTTGTTGCATTTGTTATAGTAAAAAGTGGATCTTCATTTACTAACTTAGAGATGGAAATAAAAGAATATTTAGCTGATAAATTAGTTCCATTCAGTATTCCAACATACATCTTTCAATTACAAGACATGCCAAGAACTTCTTTTGGTAAAGTATATATTCCAAAATTAAAAGAAATAGTGAAGGATTTAATTAAAAAGAGATGGGAAACACTTATTCAAGAAAATAATGATCCTCCTATAACAGAAGTTGGAAAAGAGATGGCTAATATTTGGAGTGAATTTTTTGATATTCCTGTTGGTGCATTATCAAGAAAGAGTAATTTTTATGATTTAGGAGGTGATTCTTTTGTTGGAGCACAAACTGTAGCAATTGTTAGAAAATATATACCAAATGCACCATTTAATTTATTGTCATTAAAATTTAATCTTGGGGATATCGAAGATTATGTCTCTAATCCAACATTATGTTCTAATGAAAATGAAGAATTAACTAAAGATTTAAACTGGATCCAACGAGCCAATGTACATGAATTATTTAAAAAAGTTGTAGAATCAACTAACGAAAATATTAAAAGAGATAGTGCTATTGTAACTGGTGCAACAGGGTATCTTGGACTATACATAACACTAGAACTTTGCAAAAGAAGTGATATTAAAAAAGTGTATTGTGTTGGTAGAAGTTCTAATAAAAATGAACTAATTAAGAAAATGAGATTAATGTTGAGAAAAACTGAAAAGGAATGGAATGATAAAATTGAAATGGTTGTTGGTGATATTTCTAAAGAAGATTTTGGAATTGAAGATTTAAAGAAAAAAGAAATGAAAAGTAATAGTAAAATATTAATTAATTGTGCTGCTGTTGTTAATTGGACAAAAACATATAACCAATTAAAATTAACTAATGCATTTGGCGTATTAAATGTAATTAACTTTGCAGGTCAGGGTATGAATATTTGTCAAATATCTACAATTGGAGCAGCTCTTAATAAAGATGAAAGTATTTCTAATAATATTCCATTAAATGCATTCGGGTATGTTCAATCTAAATGGATGGGAGAACAAATTTGTAAAAGGGGGATTGAAGAAGGATATAAAATTAATGTAATGAGACCTTCTTTTGTTGTATCAGATTCAAAGACTGGAATATGTAATACAGACGATTTTATTTATAAAATGATTCGTCTTAGTATTAAAAATAATATCGGATTAATTGGCCCATCATTCCCAATGACACCTGTAGATAAATTAGCAGAATGTATTGTTAATAATATGTATAAACAAAAGATTATAATCAATTTGATTCCAACAACAAACGTTTCAACTGAAAATATATTTTCTATTTGTAAACTGTTAAATATGAAAATAACTTTAGTCGATGAAACTGAATGGAAGAAAAAAGTAACTGATTATGCTCAGAATGGTGATAAAGAAGCAATGCAATTATTAGCATCTTTAAATGTTCTTGATCTAAAAGGAATAATAGAATCAAAATTCTTTACATCTAATCCTAAAGAAAATATTCTTGATTTTACAAATGATTTTATCAAAATAAATCTTAAAAAATTACAAAATGTAGGATTCTTTAATGAAGATGGATGCTCATTACTGTCAAGATCTAATTGATTATTATTTACTTAATTCATAATCTAGTTTTTTCCTGTACTCTATTTAGAATCCTCTAAATTGAGTTTGAGTAATTATTGTTAAAAAGATAAAAAAAACATAAAAGAAGGTGATAATAAAAAGAGTATACATACTATATTAAAAATAACAATAAATAACGAATAAAACATTACAAATTCTTTTTTATGTTTAAAGACTGATTTATAAATAATAAAATAGTTCTCAGTGATAAATTAACATCTTAATAATTCATATTAATTTGTTTTCTATCTTTCTACTAAGTTATTTTTTTCGTTATTAAATAAAAAATATCTTTGTGTCTTTAAATATTATTGACATAACAACAAATTTGTATATTATAGATTTTATGATTATTAATAAAAAAAGGATAGAAACTTAGAAATAAATCAATGAAATGAAAAATAATTGACAAAAGAATAATAAATTTATAAAAATAACAAAAATAGAGTGTTTCAATGAAAGAAGCTCAAAAAGAAGAAATCATTTAATAATTGATTCTAATCAATATAACAACTTATTTTTTAATTTTTAAAAAATATTTTTTTATTTCAAAAGTTTAATTTAAAAGATAAAGAGCTATTTATTAATTTTTGTAATATATAACAAAGAGATAAATTAAATGTTATTTAAATTTTCTTTTAGAGAGAGACAGTTTATGTACTAAAAAAAATAATTTTAAAAAGAGTTCAATTCTTATGAAATGCACATTATGTCAAAATATCACTGATTCATTTGCTATTGGAGAATGTGACCATAGCTTTATTTGTTGTTTTTGTTCATTTAAAAGACGTTTTTTTGATAAAGACATGGCTTGTCCACTATGTAATAAACAAAATACAATTGTCTTCTTTGATACTAATTTTATTCCTTACTCACAACTTATAATAAATACACCAATTTATTCATTTCAAGAATTAGGAATTCGTACAAATAATAGAGAAATTTCAGATACACTTACTTCTTGGATTTCAAATAAATGTCCAGTTTGTAAACAAGTTTTCATTAATACAGAAAATTTTAAAAAACATTTAGAAATTAATCAAAACAACAATTGTTTTTATTCTAGTAACAATGGACTTTATTCATTTATTATTCCAAAAAACCTTTTTCAAAGTCAAATAGAGCCCCAACTCAAACGAAGTCACTCTAATCAAATAACAAGAAAAAGTTTATCTTTTGAAATTGAAACAGATAAAAATAAAGAAAAAAAACCTAAAAAAATTCATGATACTTTTAATGAGTTACAAACCAAAAAATTATCTCTTAATACTAATTTATTAGACTCTTCACAAAAAGAATTCTCCAATAATTGTTTAGATGAACAAAACTATATTAAAGAGCATTTTAAAGATATTTATTTTACTCTTAGTTCATGTTTTGAATTATATAGACAAAAGAAAATAGATGGAAGAGCTTTAATTCTAATAACATTAAGTTTAATGAAAAAATGTCTTCATTCAAAAGAATTAGTACAACTAGAACAATTTATGAATTTCCCTACACAAAAGAATAAACTCTTAAACTCTGTTTTAATAGAATTTTGTAATAAAGATGAAATGACAGAACTCCAAAGTATTTTAGACAATGAAAAAAAGCTGATTAAAATAATTAAGCAAAGGTCATTAAAAATTAATGAAGTTGTTCAGAGTAAATTAAATTCTATTTGACTATAACTGATTAACTTTTTCTTTTCAATTCAAAAAGTAAAAAAACTGTTTCTTGAAGTGAATTATATAATAATTTCTCATAATTCATTTTGAAAATTTTAGATAATTATTAAAAAAATGGAAATATCTTCAAGATGTATTAAAAATTGATTTATATATTAGAACAAATCAAATTCTGCCGACTTAATTTAAAAAGGTAAAAAAAAGAACAATAAAATAATACGTGATATAACTAAGACTTATAAAAATCATATAAATATTGATTTATAGAAAAAATAATAACAAAGACAAAATAGAATAAGTATTAGAGACATTGTTAAAGAGTGAGAAAGAAAATAGGAGATTGATGGGTACAAGAACTAATAATTAGTTGTATTATTATTTGAAGTACCTTAATGGAATACTTTTTTCTAAAGAGTCTTTCCAATTATTTGACTGTTTAAAACGACACAATGTTTCAAATACATGGTTTGTTGCCATGACTATATTTTTCATTGAAGAAATATTTTCTTCAATTGGAAGTTTGAGAGTTCTTAAATGAAGTGTTTCTGCTTTTTGTTGTGAAATTCCTTTGTGTTGTTTATGATCAACAAACCCACCAATGATAAAAATATCATTTTCATTAATATCCTTTAATGACTCTGAACTTTCAGAAGTTAGATATAGTGGGCGATGTAAAGCATTAATGAATTGGTTAATTGTCTTATCAGTGAAAGTGATTAACCTCCATTGTGGTGTATTGGGATGTTTGTCAATATATTTTTTAAGAGATGGTCCAATACCACAAATGATAAGTTCAAATGGATGTTCTTGTTTATGATTAAATGAATAAATCATCTCAATTTCTTTAAACAAAGATTTGATATCTTTTTCTTCCATAAATTCTTCATAGTCACAGTCAATAAATACCTTTCCAGTACATACTATATCTTTAACATCTCTTTTTTTCTTTCTATAGGGAATTTTAATATTTTCTTCTGGATGTTCTGATGCCTCTTTTTTAATTGTTTTGATTCTTTCCTTTTTCTCTTTTCGTTTTAATTGTCTTCTTTCGTTTTGACGTTCTTTCTTTTCTTCTAAATATTTAATTTTTTTAAGTTTTTTTTCTTCTTTTTTCTGAGACTTAAGTTGTTTGACAAATTCATCATCAATTACACTATGATCTTCATTTAATCCTTTCCTTGAATCTTCCATTATTTCTTCTTAGATTTTTTCTTATTTCATAATCTTAAACTCTAAAATTATTAATAATTAAACTATTTTTTAACAATAAAAAATATGATTTATTATTTTGTTAAATATTTAACGAATTGCTCTTTAGTTAATGAAGTTCCTTCAGCTACTTCTTTAAGTAATTCTATATTCTTTACAAGACCGAGTTTTAGAGCATTTACCATCACAGCTAATTCTTCTCCTTCAATAGAACCACTATTGTCTTCATCAACTAATCTGAAGAATAATTCATAACACTGATTTTTATCTAAACAATGTGACTTACCACAAAGATCATTTAGTAAAGAGACTAATCTACCAAACATATTTACATCAGTTTTAGTAAATTTATCATCAACAGCAATTAATGTGAATATAATTTCATCTGATTTCTTCACACCAATTCCATCAGTAAACCTAAATTTCAAATAGTTTGAGAATTCTTGTTTTGTCATGAAATCTTTTTTACCTTTAATCCATTTATTGAACAACGTCTCATAATGAGAAGCATAATGAAGGTTCATGTATTCAGGTTTTACAACGTATGTAATAAATTCATATTCACTTAATGTAGTTCCTTTACCTTTGCTGTCACAATAATTAATAAGTTTTTGAAATATAGTATCATATTGGTTCAATACTTTGAAATCATATGACTTTAACTTCCTTAATGCATAAACTAAATCATCACGTTCAACGTATCCTTGACACTTTCTATCAGTTCCTCTTGACAACTTTATAAAAACTGCAATAATAATATCAACTTGTATTTTAAAGAAACCTTTTTGAGTATGGATACTATAACAATAAAATAAATGAAGAAATTCCTCATATGATAATAGCCCATCATTATCAACATCACATAACATACACAAGAAAATGCACAATTCTTTATCAGCATCTTCTTCAATACTTAGAAGATTATAAATATATTTATTCAATACATCAAATGATATCTTACCTGTCCGGTTAGTGTCTAATGAATAAAAAGCAAATCTGGTTCCAAATGAAGATTTTAATACAGACATCTTTTAGTTAAATTTTTAAGATCTTCTTAATTTAACTTGTTTTTGTATCAGAAATTTCCCGATACTTTACTATTAATGTTAAAAGAATGAGGAATCAAATAACTAATTTTATTAATTTTTCATAAATTTTTAGTTTTATATAATTTTATTGAATTTATTTACATTCTAATTTATGACAAACAGAATAATTTCATACAACTAATTATATGATAATTAAAACACATCCTTTTCTTTATTTTATAAATAATAATTGATTTTATTGTATTAGTAAATTTAATGATAATTGTTTCAGTTAATTTAAATCAGAAAATGTTTAACTCACTATTAAAAAGACTTTAATTATCTTTTAACAGAGTCTTATTCCATATTCAAACTTTTCTTATATTTGAATGATTTTATTAACAAAAAAATAAGTTATTAAAATTTTAACTTAACTAGTAGAATACAAATACATAAGTATAGTCTTCTTTAAGTAGTATAATAGTTATAATTTTATAAATAAAGGAGTTATTATTAA